GACCCCCTTTCTTAAAAAAGAGACTGGGGGGGGGGGGGCAATAAAGCAGGCCGAGACTCTGCTGGAAACCCTTGACAGCTAGTCACAAGTAGATGAAGTTGACAGAGTGTAGATATGCAGTAAAGTGGAGCAGAAGCTGTTTAAAGAATAAAGACAGTTTATTAAGAAGAGAACAAACTTTGTAAGAAAGAGGAGAGAGAAACAGAAGTCTAAGTGTCTTAACTAGCTAGGAGGAAGTCAGGAAGGAACAGATCTCAGCAGGAGCAGGAAAAACCCCAATTGAACCAATCAGGAGACAGGAAGGAGACTATTTGAAAATAGTAGGAAGTCCCTAATTTCACTATGCTAACTAGTTGTCCCCTCTGCTGCCCCCTGCAGGATGTTCCTGTCATCTTTTGTTGATCTATGCACAATAGACCTTGCATATCCCAACAGATGATACTGGGCTAGTTGAACCAGTAGTTGGATACAGAGTGGGGCAACTTCATATGGTTCCACTGAAAACAACTGCTAGATGGTGTCATCTGTCATTAAACAACCCTGAAGGGTCTTTGGTTCAAGTTTTGGTGGAGTTTAGTTGTGAGCAGATATTTATGATCTGGGAGTCTAACCCTATTACACCTGGCTACTTTTGTTTAGCTTGGCTCTCCTCCCCGTTTTGACACAGTAGGGAACATGGCAACAGTCCTAGAAGAGAGTTGGTGCCTTTGTCCTCTCCCCCACCTGCATTGCCGTATGGGTTGAAAAGTTCATCAATCCATCTGGGTATGCAGTAGATACAGCTGCCAACCTCCAGGTGGGACCTGAAGATCTCATGGAATTACAGCTGATTTCCAGACTAAAGATCAGTTCCCCTAGAGAAAATGGCAGCTTTAGATGGTGGACTCTATGGCATTGTGCCCACCTGAGGTCCCTCCCTTCTCCATACCCCACCCTGCCAGGCTCCACCCCAAATCTCCATGAATTTCCCAACCTGGAGTTGGAAACCCTAGTGGTGGACCTGTGTCATATGAGGCATGTTGGGCCCATGGACTTTGAGAGTCAGAACCCTGGTGGATGCTCATCCATAGCTGATTATCTAAATGAGAGGCCTGTGACGTACCTTATTTTTCTTGCTGCCTTTGAACTATTCACAGTCCTGGTTTGGGCCAGAGAACACTCAAAATCACAACAGAAATGGCCATGTAGAGGGACACAAATGAGCTGCAGAGAACTTTGCACGTTTTGCATTGTGGGTCCTTTGGATTTTCATTCTGCAGTGTTTTAGAATGGGCCTTTCTGCTGGTACCGCTTATTCCCTCGTATTATTACTATCAGTGGATCTCATTGAGTAGAACTCTTTTGCACCTTCCATTTAAAAGTGTAACTGGAAGGATTCTCCCTTTGATCTTAGCTGGCCAAGCTGGCTTCTGGAACACGTCTGGCTCCGAAGTGAAAGCAGGACGGAATCACACGATCTGCCTTTGGGACCATCTCACCTTCTTTGCGGTGCTGATGGTGAGTGCCGAGGCCCACTTCGGTTTCCTGCAGAGTTGTTGGAAGAATGCCCCATCTCCGAATTAAAGCCTTTTCCTTCTCTCCGCAGACGTCCTCCCCGGATCTTGACCACATTCACCAAAACTACCTGACAGTGATCACCTATTTTGGCTGCGTCATTTCAGCTCTGGCGTCGTTCTTCACAGTCTGCTATTTCCTTTGCTCCAGGTAAGTGGTGTGCTTCTTTCTACTCTGCGGCTGCTTCCGGGTGGGAATTTTCTTCTCCCGTGGAGAGCGAGGATCCCTCTGCTCCTTCTGAGCATATCGTATGGCATCCCTGGGGCTTCTCCCATGAAACTGGTCCAAAAAGATCAACTGCTTTGAGCCAGTTCAAAGCAGGTTGATTTTTGAACCAGCTTAATGGGAGAAGCCCCAGGAATGCCATTCGATATGCTCAGAAGGAGCAAAACGTTGCACAGATGTCCTCCTTAAATGCCAGGTGACGAAGGTGAGATGCTGCCTGGACCCTCTACCTGCCGCTCTGCTTTTACAATGGCAGGGAGCAGCTCACTGCAATGGGCCATTCCCCTTGAGCCCTTCAAAGGGTTTTTTGTTTGCTTATCCTGATGAGCCACACTGTGGCATGAACACTCAGTTTGGTGGGGGTCCCGGCTACAGGGAGCCTTGGGCCATAGTTGCCATTTTTACACCCATCTTGACAGGGAAAAAGAAGGAGGGTGGCGGCAGCCAGTAGAGCAGAAATGAGTATTTGTGGATGTTGTTCCTGCTCTGTTTGTTAGACAGTGTGGTGTAGCGGTTTGAGTGTCAGGCTAGGATTTGGGAGACCCAGGCCCAAATCTCCGCTCTGCCATGGAAAGTGAGCAGAGACACACGGTCAGCCTAACCTCCCTCACAGGGTTGTTGTGCGGATAAAATGAAGGAGAGGAGAAAAATGCAGTTCTCCTTTGGGTCCCCGTCGGGGAGAAAGGCAGGGTTATAAATGAAGGAAATAAATAATTTGCTGCAATCGCAACAGGGGGTGCATTTGTGTGGCCGCGTGTGGATGCAGTCTGAAGTCAGGGTACAGCAGAGGTGCAGGACAAGGGAGGCCTGGGAAGAAGAAGAAGAGGAAGCAAGAACAGGGCTTGTTGGGTTTCCATGAAGAATGGGTGCAGGAGGTTCATACGTCAGGCAGAAGGTGGGTGGTTCTGGGGAAGATGGGAGTTGTCTAAGTTCAAGACCGATTTCCCACAAACTGCCGCTCCGCCCTTGCTCTTCCTTTGCCCCCAATTGTATGAGTCAATTTCCCGCTGTGCAGCTGCATTTTGACCTGCAGCTTCACCCGATTTCCCCTGCATCTTTTCGATCCTCAAAAAAAACACACCAGGATTGAAAAGATGCAGGGGGGATCGGGCGAAGCTGCGAGTCAAAATGTGGCCACGCAGCAAGTAGTGGGAAATTGATGCATTCCACTGGGGGGGAAGAGCGAGGGCAGAGCAGAGTCTTGTGGGAAATCAGTCCAAGCCTCTTCGAGTGGCCAGTGGCTGAGAGCTGGCAATCGGGAAAGTCCTTGAAGAATCTGGCAAATGGGGCTGTGACTCTGTGGGAGACCATCTGCTTGGCATGCAGAAGGCCCCCATGTTCAATCCAAGTAAAAGGACCAGGTGGTATGTGACGTGCAAGACCTCCGTCTGAGACCTTAGAGAGGGGCTGCCAGTCTGAGTAGACAATACTGCACTTGATGGACCAGTGGTCTGATTCAGTATATGTGTGTAACGATGCTCCTGCCCCAGCCTCTGACAAACCAGTCAGTTGTAGCAGCTGCCATGTGCAATCCAGCATGTATTGGGCAGAGATTTTTTTTTTTTTGCAGTCCCGAGTCTTGGGCCCTGATGGTGGTTGCCTGCAGCTAGTGTCCCCCAAGGTGGAACTCGCTGTCTGTTCAGTTTCCCTGTGACTGTTATGCTTGGAATGTGGAGAACTGAGTGAAATCTTGATGGCTCAAGGCCAACACAATGATCTTTGGCTCCTGCTTCATTTTCCAGCCTAGCCACCGTCCATCCATGTGACCTCATAAGCTGAGCTCAGTGCCAAGAAAACAACCAACCAGCAGAGTTAGGGTAGCACCCTGGGTAACCAAAGGTTTTCCTGGGGTTGTGGCTCACAGTAATCCCATACTGGTCGCCATCTTCCTTAACAATGAGTATAAATGGAAACCCCCGTAGCCTTCAGGAGCCTGAGGTGCCTTGGATGCACGTTGGCAACCATAGCCTTTTGTTTTGTGTGCATCACTCATTGGCAGAGCAGGGGGCACTTGACAGCAGACAGCTTCATGACCCAAAGTCCTAAAGGTATGAATGCCGTTCAGGGCTTCAGAAAAGAAATATCATATCTTGTCCTCCACAGGAAAAACGAGAGGGACAGTATTGTCCATATCCACATGAACCTCCTCTGGGCCATCTTCCTCCTTGACGTCAGCTTCCTCATCGCAGTGCCCCTGTCCGCTACCGAAAATGACGTGGCTTGTAAGGCAGGCGCCATGTTCCTGCACTTTGGCCTGCTCGCTTGCCTGACCTGGATGGGGATTGAGGGCTACAGCCTCTACCGGCTCGTGATTGAGGTCTTCGATTTCTCCACCAGGAACTTCCTCCTCAAGCTGTGCCTGGTGGGCTGGGGTAGGTGTTTGAGGAGCTTGGGAGCAGCCAACAGAACTGCGAAATACGGCTGCCCAGTTTGAGGGGCAATGAGCAAATGTTTATGAAGACAAGTATGAAGTGTTAGGTTCCTGTTGGTTACCCTTTGTTTGGTTATTGTTGCTGCTCTCGTATATCAATGCCAGGTATATCAATGTCAGGTTGAGGTGTCACAAGAGCCAGTTTGGTGTAGTGGTTAAGAGTGGCAGACTCTAGTCTGGAGAACCGGGTTTGATTCCCCACTCCTCCACATGCAGCCAGCTGGGTGACCTTGGGCCAGTCACTGTTCACTCAAGAGTTCTCTCAGCCCCACCTACCTCACAGGGTGTCTGCTGTGGGGAGAGAAAGGGAAAGGAATTGTAAGCCGCTCTGAGACTCCTTTGGGTAGTGAAGGGCGGGGGCAAAAAAAATTGATGTTAATATGAAAATTTTATTTCCACCCGCCTGCCCCATGTTCTGAGCAGAAACTCTTTGTCAGAGGAAAAGCCCGGTGAGAACACCTGCTGCAAACAGTTCTGCAGAATTTTCTAAGCTACTTCTCTTTCTTCTGTTCCCTCTCTGGAACAAGCAAATAGATTTTAAGCTAGCTGCAAGAAAAATTTATGTCCAATGTATCAAGAATGTTGTGGGGGATTGCAATTAAAATTTTATACTCTTTCCTGTACCTTTTGGCTTACAGTTCCAATACAAAGTACAGTAAAACCCCTTTTACATCCTCCCCAAGAAAATGCCTGTGACTTAAACCCAATTAAAAGCTCTCACAAATAAAAGCTTCACAGTGTTTCCTAAAAGATTCTGAAGATCCTCACCTCCACAGGGAGCCCATTCAACAAGGTGAGAGCTGCCATAAAGATGGAATGGGCTCTAGCAGATGCCAAGTGGGACATCTTCAGCTTTTGAGTATTTGTGGAAATTTGGTCACTTAGTCACTGGCTTTGGGGATGTAATCCTCTTGTAGGGCGCCATTGGTGCTGGCATCGGAGGTTAGGAGTTTGGGTGTGCTCCTGGACTCCTCGTTAACGATGGAGGCCCAGGTAGCAGCCACTGCCAAGTCGGCCTTTTACCATCTTCGGCTGGTGCGGCAGTTGGTCCCCTTCCTCAACCGCGATGACCTGGCCACAGTGATCCATGCGACGGTCACCTCGAGGCTAGACTACTGTAACACTCTCTACATGGGGCTGCCTCTGTTGCAAATTCGGAAGCTGCAACTAGTGCAGAATGCTGCAGCCAGGCTGTTGATGGGTCTTCCTAGACGAGACCACATCCGGCCTGTGCTGAAAGCGCTGCGCTGGTTGCCAATAGCGTACTGGATTCGCTTCAAAGTGCTGGTTCTTACCTTTAAAGCCTTATATGGCCAGGGACCAGCCTACCTAAGGGACCGCCTTTCCCACACATGTTCCCCCAAGGGAACTATGGTCGGGGAACCAACATCTCCTGGATGTTCTAGGCCCCAAGACAGTCAAACTTACGATGACCAGGGCTAGGGCGTTTTCGGTGGCGGCTCCTATCTGGTGGAATGAGCTCCCAGAGGAGATCCGGGCCCTGCGGGACCTTGTACAGTTCCGCAGGGGCTGTAAGACGGAGCTCTTCCGCCAGGCTTTCGAATAGGAGCCGCCACCACCACTGTTCCATCAACGCCCTATAATTTCCGCACATTACCACCGCTGGCGCGGGTTCCATCGGAGGGAGCGGGACGTTTTTAGGGGATGACGGGGCAGTGGGAATATGCACTGCTGTTGTTGTGTAGCTATACCATTGAGAACACCATCTTGGTCTAAAACTTGGAAGTGAGTAGGGGAGCACCGAAATGTTTGTTATGAATCTTATCTAATCTGTCTATTTTGTATTTTAGTATTTTATACTGTTTTATTGTTATTATCTGGCACTATGCATCTGTAAGCCGCCCTGAGCCTTCGGGGAGGGCGGGATATAAATCCAAATAAATAAAGTAAAATGAATAATAAATTGTAATTTAGTGCTAGTATTTTGCTAGGTGCTGTATACCCCTGAAAACACTGTTGGGCTGAATTTTCTTTGGTAGAATTCAGGGGGAAAGTGGCTTAGAACCTTTCCCCCTCAGTGTTCCCTCTAAGCTGAGTTAGTGTGAGCTAGCTGAGTTTTTTAGCCTCTGGCTCACACGTTTTTGTCTTGGCTCAGGAAGGATGGCTCCAGAGCAAACTAATTTATGCAGTAGCCAAATCGCTCACTCACAACTTTAATGCCAGGAGCCCGCAAAGTAGAATTTTTGCTCACAAGACTCCAATAGCTAAGAGGAAGCACTGTTCCCCCTTAGAACATTTGTCACCTCTATAGTAGTAAACACTTTGCTTTCTGTGAAAAAACAAAACAAAAAAACCACACCCATGGTAGAAAATAAACCCCAGATAATCTACCCAGTTTTGCCATTGGCGGTTGTTTTTTTTTAACCTAGGGTTGCCATTTCCCTGGTGGGGCCAGGGGATCCCCTGATTTCAGGGGCCCCAATCCCACCACGGCCCAGCTCACTGGCAGGGGAAGCCCCACCCCTAAGAAGCCCCTTTCTGGCACCAGTGTGATGTCACATGGGAGTGACATCACATTTCCAATGTTGGGGACAGCACTCTAAGTTTTGGGCAAAACTCTATGGTTTTGAGGCCCCCCAAAACCATAGAGTTTTGCCCAAAACCTAGAGTGCTACCCCTAATGTCAGAAATAAAGGAAGGATTGGGAGTCCCCCTGCTGGCAGCCAGGGAGGACCTGGCAACCCTGTTTTAGCACCATGGGATACCAAAATACCTCATTGGAGTTTGTTTTTCTAACCCATTAATTCATTAAGAGAACAGTGATCCAGGGAACCCTATCTAAGTTCTCTGGAGTGATACAGCCCTTCATGCCAAAACCACAAACAAACATGATGATCAGAAGGGGGTGGTGGTGCTGGAGTCAGGCAAGATGAGGCAGCAGAGATTGTGCAAAGGGAACAGGTGTGAAGATTGGTTTGAAAGAAGAAGAAGGAGCTGCTTGGTGGACGGGGAGGAAGCAGTTATCCCACTGTAGAAAAAAACAAGAGTAGCACAACCAACGTTCCCTCTAAGCTGTGGAGTCTTGCGAGCAAACATTCTACTTTGTGAGCGACCAGCATGAAAGTTGTGAGCAGGCATTTTGGCTACTGCATAAATTAGTTTGTTCCGAAGCCAACCTTCCTGAGTGGAGACGAAAATGTGTGAGCCGGAGGCTAAAAAACTGTGAGCTAGCTCACACTAACTCAGCTTAGAGGGAACACTGCTATGGTGTGTGTGGGGGAGTTTGAAGTGCTGGGCATCGGGCCAGGGCTACAGTCTGGGAGAAGGACCACCCTCACTGGGATGCTAGATCACTCTACCTCAGACTAACTCAGCTTAAAGGGAATACTGGTAGCATCCCCTAGTGGCCACTGAATGCTAGTGCAAAAAATGAATTTGTTGCAAATCCTAAAAGGAATAACTTCTGTTGAAATATATGTACATACTTAGAAATATGCATTCTGTTTATAACAGAATGCAACGGCAAAAAGTATTCCAAATATTAGCAAGGATCTGTACATAATTGTTTTCTGATTTTGTAATCTGGTTTTATTACATTTTGTTGTTTGTATATACGATACTGGCATTGTTTTCCAGTTGGCCTTGAGTCTCAGTGAAAAAGGAAGACTATACATGAAATAAATAAATAGCTGAGTGCCTGTGGCTCAGTGGTAGTGTTTGGTAAACACAAAGGGTCAAGTTTAATCCCCAGCATTATTAATTAAGGCATTTCTATGGTGCTTTTCTCCCCAAAGGGGTTTACAGAGATTTCCAAAGCAAGCCAAATTAAATAATATAATCTAAACAAGCATGACAATAAGCAAGGCAAACACATCCTGGGCAGGTCCTCCTTCTGCTGCAAGCTTCATGCCAAATGCCTGTCAGCTTGTGCCCAAGGACTTGCCCCTCTGCCTAGGCTTTTATCCTTGCAGAAGCAAAGCTAGATGTTATGCAGCTGGCAAGATTTCCCAATGCCTCTTCTCTCTCATCCTTATCGCCACTTAAATGATTTCATTTGGTGTTTTGACAGACCTTTTTCTGTATGAGAACCACCTAATGCCAGTCAGAACAGAGGGTGCTGTGCGCAGTGGACCAATGGTCTCACGTGAACACATGAATCTGCCTTATCCTGAATCAGACCATTGGTCCATTGAGGTCAGTATTGTCTACTCAGACTGGCAGTGGCCCTCTGGGGTCAAAGGGCAAGGTGTTTCACATCACCTCTTATCTGGTCCTTTTAACTGGAGATGCTGGGGATTGAACCTGGGACCTTCGGCATGCAAAGCAGAGGCTCTACCACTGAGCTACTGCCCTTCCTGGAGCTTGGCACAAGGCAGCTTGGTATGTTCAGCCCGCTTGTCCAATTGCTTTATGAGTCTCTTAAGAAAATACAACGCTGCCTTGTATTGAGCTATATTATTTGCGCATTTGGGCAGGGGTTCTTTGGGGTCTTCTAGGATGAGCAGGGGTGCTCCATGGATCCTTTGAACTGAAGGATATGCAGCATTGTACTCTCAGACCGAACCATGCTCTTAAACATGGACATTGCAGAAGACACAGAGGCAGGAAGGGGCACATTGTCCCCAGAATGAGCACTGATCAGGCCTCTGGTGTGAATATGGAAGCTGTGTCAGAAGCATAACGTATCAGGGTGAAGCCAGCATTTAGAAGAGTGGTGCAGAGATCTGGGATAGAAACACTAACTCATTCTTTTTCTGCAGGGCTTCCCCTGTTCCTTGTGACTATGATCCTTGCAGTTGATCAGTCAAGCTATGGACCATACTCGATTAAAGTGTACGAGACTTCGGATAGATACACCAATGCAACCATGTAAGTTGATGGTTGGGGGCCATGGGGAAGGTGGATATTCTGTCACCATCCTGCAGTGAACTTAATTTAGGGTTTAGCCTCAGATTGTTACTTATCTCTGCTTCTGTATTCTCCCCCAAGTCTCTCCTGTGAAACTCCAGTGTGGAAAACGATCCCACTTGACTCTACTTTGTTTCTGCTGGGATATTAGCTCCTCAGTGGGTGAGGCCTAGAAAGCGAGAATGGGGTTCCACTGTAATCCCACTGAAGCCAGGAGGATTAATCAACAAGCTGCATGGCCTGGTCTGGACTAAGGCAGCACCTAAATTGAGCAGATGCTAGAATCCGTGGCATGCTTTGCATTGTCTTCTGGATCTGTAGGCACGCCTTCTCTCCCCCCCCACCACCAAATGAGCCACAGAGGGTCAAACTATTTCCCAACATGGGACTGCCAACCCCAGCTTGGTGGTGGAAAGTGCCATCAAGTCGCAACTGACGTATGGTGACCCTATGGGGTTTTCAAGGCAAGAGACTTTCAGAAGTGGTTTGCCATTGCCTGCCTCCAAGTCACAACCTTGGTGTTCCTTGGAGGTCTCCCATCCAATTACTTGCCAGGTCTGACTTGACACGCCCGGGCTAGCCTGGGCTATCCAGGTCAGGGCTCAGCCTCAACTCAATCCCTACAAAATGCAGGTGGCTACTGGGGGAGGGAAGGTTTGGCCCAGGAACTGGAGTGTCTCCTGATCTGGATGGGGTTGCACTCCCCCTCCCCAAAGGAGTAGGCTGTAACTTGGGGATGCTGCTGGATCCAGGCCTCCTGTTGGGTAAACAGATGGCAGCTTTGGCTGGTGAGCCTGCTGTGGCGCTTGCTGGAGAGGAAAGTGCTTGCCACTGTAGTGTGTGCCCTTAGGTTAGATTAACTGCAGTGTGCTCAACATGGAGCTGCGTTAGACTAGATGGCCTTTCTGGTACCGTTCTGAGTCCCGACCCTATTTTGTGTAGTACATTTTTACCCCGCCCTTCTTCCAACAAGCTCTGGAAGCTCGTTGAGTATGATCTTCCCTCTTCCATTTTATCCTCACAACAACCCTGCAGGGTAGGACAGCCTGAGGCAAAGTGACTGTCCCAGGTCACCCAGCAAACTTCCCAGGCAGAGTAGGGAATGTGAACCTGAGCCTCCCAGATCAGAGTCCAGCACACTAAGCCAAACTGGCTGTGTGGCTCTTTCTGTGAACCTAGTTGTTGTATTGTGTCTGTGAGAGAGAGAGAGAGAGAGAGAGAGAGAGCGCAAAATGCAAAAACTCTGTGCTAAAGAATATACCCGAGGAGGATATCTGTGAAGATGAGAAACCTGCTATTTTTTTTGGGGGGGGGGGTTACTTTGCT